TGCCGTCGGTTCGTTCGGCAAGATCGCCAACATGATCAAGGACGAGCTGTCGCTGAATGGCATGATGTCCACGACGTCGGACAGATTCTGGCGAGCCATTTCGGTCGCCGGAGGCGGTCACCCCTACTCTATGAAGTCTGGAACCTCTTTGGTCCACGCTGTCATGGAAAAGTATTTGTTCAGAGAAAAGATGCTCGCTTCTTGCTTCATGGCACCGGATCCCTTGACCGAAGCGAATAGCCTCCATGATCCCAACTTGGAACACGTGTTGCAGGACAAAGAGAGGTTGTATCAGTACTTGTTCGGAGACTCCGTGAGGGGAAGCCATGCATATCGGTCCACCGCGGGAGCTTCAGGTGAGAACGAGTCTGAGCGAAGGAAAAGGGAGAAGGTAAGGAGAGAGAACAAAATGCCATGGATGGATGAGTACTGGGGAGTCCTTCAACCAGAGCCAATCTACTCGAGGACTCAGAGGTGGTACGTCATTGATGACTTTAAGGAGGGTGAGGAGATTTGCTGCGATTACTGTTTGGTCTGCGATCCCGCAGACTCCGATCAGAAAGATGATTGCTATGCAGAATGCATCAACGGAGCAGCAAATAGGTGCCGTGGGATGTCCGCAGAAGACTACGTCCAGAAGCGGCTCCATGCATGTGCTCGAATGCTTTATAACTTTGGCATGGGGCAAACGGTATCATCTCCCACCGTCATGATCTCCGAGATGAACCCGCACGTAGATCTGATGAAGTTCTTACATGAGGCGATGATCATCTTTAACGGGAACCCAGGCTTCCAAAAGGAGATCTCGTTCTTCGGGGGGATCAGGTTGTCGTCGACAATGACGGAGAATTTCTTCAAAACGAGGAGAGGACCCAGCATTCATGTGGAGAAGCAGATAATCGGCAAGGCCATGTACTTTCAGGGATCTTATGACCTTGGCAATGTGTGCTACACCAAATACCTCAAGACCATACTGGAGCCCGAGGTATTCCGAAATATGTTCGGAGATGATCCCTCGGAGGAACGGGTAGGTGATATGGTGGAGGCGCTGCTAGGCATGTTAGAAGTTGCTCAACTCTTCAAACACCTGTTCTCGGGATGGGGTGACATTGAGGCTTTGAGGACGGGATTAGAAGAATCCATCAAGCGTGTCACTGCATCACTGTACGACAGGACAACGTATGAAAACCGAAAGCGATCGATGATCAGGACATTGGGCCCGCACTCTGAAGAGGCGGCAAACGTGGCACTGATTCTCGTTCGCATGAGGACCATGCCGCCTCCTGAATTCGACATCGACCACTTCTTCGAAATCGGGAAGGAACCAGAACATGGAACAGAGGCTAATGACCAGCCCGAGGCCGAAGGTGTCGATATGGAGACTGAATTTGAACAGGAGAAGGAGGAGCCAGACGTTGACATGTCCGACCCGAAGACATCAATACTGCAAGCCATTAAAGAGTTTGAGGAGAAGATCGGGCAAGCAGAATTCTGTATCCACTGCATGAAGTCGGGACACGCGACTCTCAATTGCGAGAAGATCCCTTCATCTTCGCCCACAGTCACCTCAGTGCTGAGTGATTGGAAAAAGAGAGTGAAGGGAGAGGTCGCGCCCGACGATATACCATCCGGACATCCAGCCGAGGGGCCTAAGAAGAAGAAGCAGAGAGCATCGCCTACTCCAGATAGAAAGGTCGACAGCGAGTTCAGGCGAAAAGAGATGTTGAAAGCAAGAGTCGTGACGATGTTTGACCATGACGGGTTCACCTTGATTGAAAGTGCTGATGGAGTCGAAGGAGGGACACATTCCTACAACGGGCGGAAGCTGGCGGAAGTAGGACCTAGGGATATGAAGGTGGTGTACGAGTTTGTGGAGAAGGCATTTGTGCACTCCAGTTCCCTCAAACCAAAGGCATGTCATCAATTCTATCCCCTACCGACACGGAGGGAGAAGGGATACAAGCCGATCGACCCCATGACAATGGTCGGGAGAGTTGAGCTAGTACCGATCAATGGAGTCACTTTCGCTGCACAGAACTCCGACTACGGCAACCACAAGTATCCGACTCCAGACTGTCGAGTACCAGAGTACAGCCAAGCGAGCCAGGCCCTGAGTCGCCGATTGGGAGCGAAGTTGAGACATCGAATTGGACGCCAGTTCAGGACAGGAGGAAGACTCACTCCAATCAAATGCGATGAGGGCGCGTGGGTGTCATGGGAAGACCTATTAGGTGATAACGCGGTTTGGGAAGACGGTTATCACTATGGCAACATTGACATCGTGACCAAGAAGGCGCGCTTGGAAAAGTACCTCGACCAGAACTATGAGTGTTTCCGCATAACCAAGAGGATCAGATTCCAAATGTTGGCGGTTCGCGTTCACCCTGATGAACTCACTGATCCTGATGACCCGATGGAGAAGGAATGGATTGACGAGCTCAAGGGCATGGGAATCACCAAAGCAAGGCTCCACAATAGCGATGGATGGTGCTTTCCCGTGGCCGTAAGAGCAACCTCAGCACACTCGTCGGACGGCGGAGGTTATGACGTCGCCATCAACATCGACCACATTGGATCGAGAATGACCAACGACATGGCCCTATCCATGGTGACCGCATTTCACGCTACCAACCTTGGAGCGCTGACTTCAATCATGCGACGGGGGCTGGTGCCGGGAGGTCTCGGTTCATCGGGAAGGGATTCTATCCACTTCACATGTTTTCCGCCATGGGCCTGGGAACAGGGTTACAAAGGAAAACCTTGGCTGGGTCGTAAGGTCGCATTGAGTGATCGCCCAGTGGTTCTCTACATTCCGGTGTGGAAGCTGCAGGAGTACGGGCTTCTCATCTCAGCGACAGGATCTCTATTGGTTGAGGATGTTGTTCCCTTCGATGAGGTTAAAGGGGCATGGTTGCAATGCGACAATGCAGAACCCGGACAGCATGAGGAGATCGAATGGATCAGGTTACTCAATAGAGAACCCGACCCTGGGAGCTACCTTGTTCTGGAGTCCAAATACGGAAACCCGATCATGACCCCACGCTATCAAAAGCTTGAGAGTCTGGCGATCGAGGTCCAGGACGATACCTACTCCGAGGACGACGCCAAAATCTCAAAGTTGTTGGGCACGATCGAGGAGAGTGGTATCTACCCAGAATATGATAGCACTGAGTGGCAGGAGATCTTTGAGGAGATCGTATATCGCCGAGCAATGAAAGACTACGATTCAAGACCGTGTCCTAACTGCCTTGGCGAGGTCGATGTGCGATTGACGATATGTCCGCACTGCGTAGCGGTTTTGATCGCGAATGGGAAGCTCACGCATGTGGTACCCAAGGAGACAAGGGACCGCAATCAACGATCACCTCCGAGAGACGTGCCAGCCAGTTCTTCCGGTGAAGCGACTTCTTCTGCAGGTGCAAACATCGACGAAGTCATCAAGAAAGCACGCAAGACAGCCGAAGAAGTCATTGACATCGAGGAATCCGAAGGAGAGGAAGACGAGGGAGTTCCTATCATCATGAAGGAACGACCGGACGAAGCTGAAGGCGAACCCGAGTATCGGGAGGTCCCTCAAGATGGATACGGGAATGAACTTCCACAGCCTTTCCCCTTCGCAATTGACGAATTGCCACAGGAAGCCGCGATCCCCATCGATCACAACTTTGCAGTCACACAGCAATTTGATCTGAGGTTGATGAAGTTGATCAAGAGCTTGGCCAACGCAACGTTCGACATCAATTGCTTCGAGAATCGTGAAGACGTACTGCGAAAGTTCGACGATGGACAGCGGCATGACACTCCATTCAATAGATGGCCATTAGTACCGAATGATCCGGATACTGGGTTTCCAAGACGTCTCCAGAGAGCCGAGGTCGTGGGCATGAACAAATGGACCAATGACACGTATGCAACAGAAGCGTGGCAGATCTATGAATTCCACGCCCACGTTATTCACCCGATGATGATCACTGCAATCCGTTGCGGGCTTAGCCACAAGTATCTCAAAGAGGTCGGCAGCACTCGGCGTAACATGAGTGATCCAAAGGCTCGAAGATCCGAGACCCAGGAAGAGATCATCGAGAAGCTGGCATTCATATCAAATTTCATCAGACGCTTGATCAGGAAGACCTTCGGAGCGAGCCGATACAGCTACTACCAGAAGCCAGATGACGAAGGTACCGCTCCATAAAAATTCATTGACATTAGCCCCGCCATCAAATCGGAGCGAAAGAATGTCACAAAGGAGATCCTCGTTGCACGCCGCTACTACGGCGTAGAGGTATCTGATATCCAAACACAGAAATTGAAGCTCTTTGAGGAGCAGATCCGAAGGGGAAACCCAAGGAACGTTGAGCTCATCAAGGACTACATTGGTTTTGTCGGAGCTGACTACATGCGACAACTCACGAATGGTTGAACATTGGGGTCATGCCGACATACTACTTCCAGTACTTCACGTACTGAGGGATCTTGGGTAATTCATGATGACCATTTTGGCATCTTGGGAGTGAGATAGGATTGTGTTTCACACCGTCGGTAATCGCATGATACCACAGGTAGATGCACGTTTTCCGTTTGTAACTCCGTTACCTGTTTGATCCATCCTTCAAGCGAACGCAAGATCGTTTGCTAATTCAGCTTTATAGGACATACTGGTTGACCTCCAACGCACTTTTGAGAACATGATTGTTCTCCGGTTTTTACATCCAATCATCTCCCTTTCCCCGTCGAAGCACGGATGTGGGGGGTGTGAATAGAGATGAGGTCCCAGTATAATTGCTACGTTGACACTTGCCATAAACATTTGGCTCAAGTGCCCAATCAGGCAAAAGGGAGCTTTAGCGCGCAAGCTTCATGGTGAACTAAGGGCTTGAACGGGGCCAGGGCACGCTTTCCATCCGTTCGCATATATATATACCTTCTAAAGATGGATACTGTACACCAAGAAACATATTTGAGTTTTGGCTCTCCACCATGCTTCAACGTTGCAGACCCTTATGCAGCAGATCAAGCATATTCGTATTCGAGAGCAAGGTGCCCAGCAGCGCACCTTTCATGCCTTCGAACTGTTTGGCACCTTCATGTGCCGTGAAGAAACAATTAGCGTCCCATGACTCAGGTTTGATCACGGGGAGGACGAGTTCTTCAACAAGTTTTTTTCCAGAAGACAGTTGGGCCTTGGGAGCGTGAGCGTTGTTGTGAGGGTCATTGGAACTGCAGCAAATTTGTAGACAATTTGCGCAAGGTTTTTTCTCACATTTTGGATCCGGCATAAGCTTTCACAGTGGCGCTTGCTTCCATGATTCTAGTGGGTTCCTCTTTTCGCTTAAGGCTTGGCATTATGGCTCATGAGCTGAAGCCCGTGATGCCCACGGCAGCCAGATCACTCGGAACAGAAAGCAGGAACATGAACCGAGTTCCGTGCAATTTGAACTCCTTGCACAAGCTTAGAAAAAAGAGGCAACGGCAGCTTTAAGAAGGCCTCTTAAAAAGTTGGCTTCATTAGAGTGCCCTCACCGCTTTTTCTCAGCGTGTCCAAGGAGTTCAAATCCGCTTGAGCGTGATACGGGGACTTGTGTGACTTGAAGCAACCTTTGTGGGCCCAACACTACTTCCTCAATGCTACTGTCTAAGGTTGGTGTGCTTCCAGAGAGAAGATGGACCAACCCAAAGGGTGTCACCAACCAGACGAAAAATGTTGCGTCCTCAACCTGGTCAAGCGTCAAATGCAGACAAAAAACGAAGGTTGTCTTCTGCGCAAATATATAGATGTCCAGGGTTTGTGACGGGCAGGACCACAGTTTTCCATGCAGAATTGTGTTTGCTGCCAGGTGATGCTCGTGCGAGATACCCACTTGCTCTTCGCAGCCTTGGGGCCGGGACCTTGGACCTTCGAGATGCACCTTCTAAAGTTCTCGAAGACATTGAAATCGATTTCCAGGCATGAGGTTTGTTCGTTTAACATCGCCCTTCCACTTTGGCACACCCAGATTGAACCTTGCTGGCGCAGTCAGTGTCCATAAGTTTGCCCCGCGCCCGTTGCACCAATGACTCTGGTTGATTACAGTACACCTGCTACGCAGATGGAACACTTTCCAGAGCAAGGTTCAGAGTACTGAGTACTCAGCTTCGCAACCAACGCAATCAGTGCAACCATGGAATGTACTACACTGTTTCTACACTGCCCCTGTTCACAACAAGCCCCCCAGAGCCTGTGTGACATTATGGGTGCCCTTCTGGCTCCTTTTTGTGACCATGGCCAAGACAAAAGTTCGCCTGCGTTTTCAGCACCGCAGCCACCTGTGGGATTTCGCCAGCAGCCATCGGAGACATACAACCTGTCGCAGGGTGCCTGCCAGTACACCAGTGCGCGACACATTTTGCCACCTCGCTCGAGACTTGCGTTTCTAAGGGCTCTTCAGCTCCTGGCTAAGAAGGCGGATGTTTGGGATGAAGGCATTGAGCAATTGTTCAAGGACCGAGACGGATGCCGGTATCACCTTTTTGTTTCGCTCACACATTTCGATCCACGCTCGCAAGAGTTGTATCAGTTTGGAAGTTCCGGAATTCCTGCAGTTTAGACCCTGACTGAATTACGGCGAAACAACGCATGAGACAGCTTGAGCTATACTTAGAGTTCTAGGTAAAATTGCAGCGAAGCAACGCATGAGACAGCTTGAGCTTTACTTAAAGTTTTAGATACTGAACATGTAACACTCAGGACTCGAGTGGACGACACACTTGGACTCATGTGAAGCACATGAAGAAACACTTGTGCCTACAAGGCCGCAGCAGTTCAAGCGAAAAGAGAGCGGAAGTGTTAGATGGTAGCGGAGCTGTGATCCGGACTCCAGAGCGTCTCCGGTGAGCTCCAGGGACAGGACCCGATCCTCAAGAGCCTCACGAGCCATAGCAGCTGGCGGGCAAAGCAGCTGGTGGAGCTGGCGTTGGCAGCTGAGCAATCGGTGCAAGTGGCTACCTGAAGGGCAAGGTCACTTGGCAAGGTCGTGCAAGGCGTGGCTGGGATGGAGCAGGTTGTCACCGAGCTCCATTGAGCTCCATGGAGAAGGACGGCAGCAGAGCTGATCCTCGCACCTAATCCATATGGCCTGAATGGTCTTTCCTCTTCAAGAGCTACTTGGCCATCGAACGACCTGGAGCAAGTGGAGCAGGACTTGGAGCAAGACCGCAAACTCACAGAGTACAAGGAGGATGTTCAGAAGAGAGCAAAGAAGCTCTATGCCCACTTGGTGAGCTTCGTGAAGGGACGGCCTCTCAGGATCGTCCGGAGTGTCACTGACACTGATGGCTTTCGAGCCTGGCAAGCGCTTTGTCGGGAGTTCCAGCCCAAGACAGGCAGAGAGAGCTTGGCGTAATCCAAGCCTTGGTGGCCTTTACGCAGTTCGAGAAGGGCAAGACCCTTGAAGGGATTAAGGAGCTGGTCGGCGAGTACGAGCGGCTGGCAGGAAGCTGATTGGATGAGAACCTGAAGATCGCAACGGTCATGCGCTGTTGCCCTGGACAGCTGCGAGAGCGCTTGCAGCTGAACGTGAAGCCTGGCACTCGCTATGCACAGGTAAGGAATCGATGGTGGCCTACGAGCAATCGACGGCTGCCTGGTCAAGCGCCAAGATCCTTGGGCGCAAACAGATTGCGCCAATGGAGGTGGGTCGCGTCAAGGGCGACCGCAAATGAAAGGGCAAAGACAAGGGCAAAGGCAAGAAAGGATCGCCTAAGGGAAAAGGCGGCAAAGGCAAGAGCAAAGGAAAGGGAAAAAGCTCTTCTGACCAGAAGGGCGAAGGCCAAGGAAGCGGAAGAGCCAAGACAAAGGCAACGGCAAGTCGAGGGAGCTTGCTTTGTGTGTGGCAAGACAGGCCACAGAGCAGCTGAATGCTGGCAACGTGGACAACAAGTTCAGCAAGGTGGGCAGGTTTCAGGACCTCCTACCAGGACTTCATCGTCTTCGGCGAGCACTGCGCCTAGCAGCAACACTTCCTATCTGGGACAAGATGTCGACCTGGCCGAGGAAGGCGAGATCAACATTGAGGATAGCTTCACTGAAGGCTTTGAGATGATGGTGACTGAGGGGGACATGGTTGAGCACTTTGACCTCACCATGACTGACTTGGACGACCGCTGGACCATGGAGGACGACTTCACCCAGGAGATCGGCCCCATCGACTACAAAATGGACAACGTCAACCTCTTCGAGAACGTGGGCTTCATCATCCTCAAGACCTCCAACAATGAGACCTTGAGATCCAGGCCATCTCTGAGCTGGACCTGAACTACTACGCTGTATTCGACTTGGGTGCAGATGTGGGTGTGGTGCCCATGAACATGGGCAATTTGGGCAAGAAGACTCAAGGTGGGGCTTTGCTTCGAGATGCTCAAGGACCAATGATGTCTGTTGAAAGGAAAGTTGCAATGACTTTGCGTTGCGCAGCTGATGGAGGGCCTGTCAAGCTGAAGGAGATCTTCGTGGTGGCCAACGTGAAGCAACCACTTTGAAGAAAGGCTAGATGATCCAGAATGTCGAGGGCAAGTTCTACTTGCAGAAGGGTAGCTACTACCTTCGTTTGCAGTGGCAGCGCAACACTTTGGCGCTGAGCTTTGGCAAAGGTCAGCTATGTCATGGGCGTGTCCAACGAGCTCAAGGCTGAAGAGCCTGGCTGGCGCGAGCTGAGTGATGGAACCCCTGTTTTGGCGGTCAAGAACGCCTTCGCTTTCCAGGACATCTCAACATGCTATGATCCCCATGAGTTTCCTTGCAGGACAACCTTGGTGAAGCTGGAGAGTGGCGAGTGCACAGTTCTGGATCGACAGAAGGATGTCAGAGCTCACCAGAAGGCACTCTTCCCTCACGAGATTCAGGAGCTCTATGGGCAGCAAATTCTCGTGAAGATGGTCTCCACTCGCAACTTGGAGGACCTCCTCCTGAACCACTTCTTGGAGAAGCTGAGCCTGTTCCTGAAGAGATGCAGGCCGATGAACCTCAAGCAAAACGGTGTGAGTTAGAGCAGGTGACCTATATGACGAGCTTGGAGATGACTATGTGTGGTCATTGGCTTGAAGCTCACAAGTGAGAGCTCAAGAAAAGTGATGAAAGATGCTTGCGAGTTCCTTCAAGCCCCTTTGAGCGGGAGCAAGGCTGTGGTCTTCAAGAGGCTTCAGGTGGCAGTGAGAGAGACAGCAGCAAAGGCAGCGCTTGATGCAGCCCGAAATGAAAAGAGGGCCATGCCATGGAGCGTCGACCTCAACGTGCTGTTGTTCCCCTGGCCCCAACAGACGAGGAGAAGCAACGCCATTTGCTTGCACACCTTCCCTTTGCAGATTGGTGTGAGCACTGCCAAGCAACAAGGTCAAAAGACCACGAGCGTCACGAACATGGAGAACAAGTTTGTCCTACAGTGGCTTTGGGCTACGTGACAACGAGCACCACGACTTGCAAGGAAAGCCCTGAGGTCAAGCGCTTGGTGGCTGTGGGCAATTGGTTAAAAGCCACTTTGGCCGTGCCAATCAATGCCAAAGGCAACGCAAGCTTGAAGCTTTGTGCCAATGCAGTGTGTGGCTGTGTCAAAGCAGTCTCGGATGCAAGAAAGCTGTTGAAGCCTCAGACAACTCAAGAGTTTTCACTGCAAGGAAGATCGGCGCCCAACCCCGCAGAGCGAGCGTTCCAGATGGTGAGAAGTGAGAAGGTTGGGCAACACTTTGCTGGAAACCATCCGTGTTGGATGTGGAATCGAGCTTCCCGCTTCACACCCGCTGGTGCTATGCCCATGCAGCCTGGTGGCGCAAGAGGTTCCATGTGACACCTGGTGGTGGCAATACACCATTTGAAGTTGTGACTTCCCAAGGTCCAAGGCATGGTATGACCACTTGGGCAAAGGTGGCTACAACCATACCCTGCCAACCCGGCGGTCTTCTACAAAGTTGGCAGGACGCCCCTGGTGATGTCTTCGTGCGTTGATGACCTACGGCTGGTTGGAAGTCCACAGGATGTTGAGAAGCTCCTTGACAGTTTCAGAAAGCAGGACGCTTCAAGTGCCAGGACCCTGCTCACCTAAGGCTGCAGGGCAATGCGCGCTCCCGAAGAGGCATTTTGCTTCAGGTGGATCTGGTTCCATGACAGTTCGAATGGACCAGAAGTATGTGAAGAAGTTGGTGGATTTGTTGGACCTGCGCGTGAACAAGGGCAAGTTGACGCCTACAACTGGAACCTGCCAGAAAGGACTTCAAGGACAACCTCTCCAAAAATAACCGGGCCTTTACAGGGCTTGCGTTGGCATTTTGCTCTACATGTCGACTGAGAGGCCAGACATCCAGTGTGCAGTTCGACAACTAGCTTCAAAGCTCACAGGACCAGACGCCCTGGACAAGAAGGAGTTGAAGCAGCTGGCGCTCTACCTGAAGCCTGAAGCGCGCGGCAGACTATATATGCGCAGGAGATGAAACAAAGTTTCGCAATGGCTTCGCCTACTCGAAGCCTTCGCCAGCGCCTGGGCCTCAGACAGAAAGACAAAACTTGAAGGAGATCTATGTCACGCAGCCACATGTACCTCAGCGGCATCTTCTTTTGGAGCGCAAGCAGGAGCCAGAAGAGCGTAGCTTTGTCAAGCGGTGAAGCTGAATTCCTTTCGGCAGTCAGCGGAATGGCTGATGGAATCTACATCAAAAGGATGTTGGAAGCGGTGCTGATATGAAGGTGGTCTTGGAGCTGAGGATTGCCGGTTCCTCTGCTCGAGCTCTACTTCAACGACAAGGAGTACAGAGAACCCGACGCATAAGCGCTGGACTTCTTTGGGCAGCAATTCGACCAGCGCCGGGAAAAGAGAATGGCAGTGACTTGGGAACAAAGAGTCCCAGTTGCTGGGCCTCATTGGCCACTTGGAGTACGCTGGAGGACCGCGAGTTGGAGCGCAAGAAGAAGAAATTCGACGTGTCAAAGGACTTTGACCTGAGCGATACAACAACTGACATGTTTGCTTGTGGTGGCTTGGAGTCAGCAGGCCACGGAATGGAAGTCGGAGAAAATCCGGCAACCGGGAATGAAGAAAATCGTGGACTTTTCCTCATGGTTTTCGCGGCGAATGCAGTTTTGATGGTGGCAATGTGTGCAAGGTTGCGACTTGGCGCTGATGGTGCTCAATGCAGCTTCTGCGGGAGCGTGGTCTCTCCTGATTGAGATGGGCTACCAGTTGTTGCTGACTGGCATGATGGTGGCGTTCAATGTGTTTGTCTTCATCCTGTTCTAAGGGATTTCTTCAACCTACGACCTGTCAAAGGCGGCGGAGAATGTCAACGACGCAGTTCACCACCTCAAGATCCTCATGGTGAAGAGAGAAAGGTCAAGAACGCAAGATTCAACATATGTGGAGAACCTGCCCGAGGAAGTGATGGAGATAGAGAACTATGGTATGAACCTGATGGAGGAGATGTCGCCCGCCTACTTCTTGAAGGAGAGGAAGATGAGGAACAAGAAGAACCCCAACGGAGACAGCCTATAGCTCTGGTGGAGAACCCACTGAAAACGACCTCACAGAGGAAGCTATGGACGTAGAGGATGACGATGTCTTAGCAACAGTGGAAGATTGGGGCCCAGTGCCTCAAGAAATGGCGACTTACTTGGAGTACTTCCTGGACGTGGATGGACGTCAGAAGCTGAAGCAGACCAGCCTGCTGAAGAACCAGAAGATGATTCACCAGGAGACGTACGACGAGTTGAACGAGCGTCTGGTCACGAAGTGACAGATGCAGTTCGAGAAGTTCGACGGCAAGCTGGCTTGAGAGAAGAGCTAGGAGGACGCCCAGAATGCTTTGTCGAGTACAACATTACTGCGTTGCGTTCTGGTTGAACCCAGACACAGGTGAGACCTAGATGCACCGACTCCTCGACCTTGAGATCGACGCGCCTCAAGTTGGCGAGGAATACTTCGTGGAAAACCCCAACTGGGGAAGATATGGTGGAAAGTGGCTTCTTCGAAGGCTTTGCTACGAGCCTGAGCCCGAAGAGGAGACCGCTGAGTCACCAAGAGGATATAGGTGGCCTCTTGCAAGCAGAGACTGGATGGAAGTTGTGAGAGAAGGAGGGCCAGAGAGGAGCTGCAGGGTGAGCAGCCACAGGCCGAGCTGTGCTGAAAGGCAATCGCTCCCAGAGACCAACAACCTGGCAGAGACCTGAGTGGGAAGTTGGATGTGGCTACAAACCGTCGCAGCCAAAGGCAGAGTGTATACACACTCAGGACTCGAGTGGACGCTTGGACTCGCGTGAAGCACATGAAGAAACACTTGTGCCTAGAAGGGCGCAAAGCGAAAAGAGAGCGGAAGTGTTAGATTACATCCAGGTGGGGGGTGTCTTCGTTGGCCGGAGACCCCCCACCTGGCTCCGGCCCCCTGCTAAGCTGTACAAAGGGTGAGTTAAAGCGGTCGGGGAACAGTGGTGGTTTGGTGTGACAGAGCTCCTCAGGAACAGGAGGTGGCGCATACACAAGCCGCCGTGGATCGACCAAACGAGCTTGAAAAGCAACCTAACAAGCCTGAAGGAAGACCGAACAAACGAATGAAAGCAAGGAGAGAAAGGGGGTGCGCGCGGGGAGGGGGGGCTTGAAGCCCTTGCAGGCATGAAGCCGGTATTGTCAGAAAGCATCCCGAATAAATCACACAGCAGACCTCTGTGGGACGCTGCAGCGGCGCACACTTCGATCCATGCTTGCAAGAGCTGTATCAGTTTGGAAGTTCTAGAATTACTGCAGTTTAGACCTTGACTGAATTACGGCGAAACAACGCATGAGACGGCTTGAGCTACACGTAGAGTTCTAGGTAAAATTGCAGCGAAGCAACGCATGAGACAGCTTGAACTTTGTTTCAAATTCTAGACCCTTAAGGCAATGCAGGTACGTTTACACCCAGGTGGGGTGTCTTCATTGGCCGGAGGCCCCCACCTGGCTCCGGCCCCCTGCTGAGCTGTACAAAGGGTGAATTAAAGGGGTCAGGACAGTGGTGGTTTGGTGTGGCAGAGCTCCTTAGGAACAGGAGGTGACACGCACACATCAAAACATAAAGATAAGCGGACCACAACAAACCTGTGATAGTCTTTGTATGTCTACAAATTTGATTTCCAATTTGTGTAAGTGTATAGTTGTATACTGTATATATATATATATAAATTTCTGATACGCCCGGGCTGAAAGATAGAATGCTTCTGCTGGGTACGAGGGTGAGGTTACACCGGAAGGCAAGTGCACATTTCATTGTTTTCCCGGCCCTTTTCCTGACTTATTTTTCTTTCCTCACAAACCAAAAATACTGAAAATGCAAGGCACCAATACTGCAGCAGAAAAAGGAAGTAAATTTAATGTCGGGTTTCACTTTTTGGGTCTTGAATTTGGGAGTCCTTCTTTTCCTTTTGAAACATTTCCAGAATCAGAAGTAGACTAAAACATAAGGCATCGATATGTACCGTTAGTTTGTTCACGCGATGTGTGCAGACCGTTGCACACATGCGCTGGTTTCTTTTGAAACTTCATGATGCTTCGGCGCGTTTTGTGTCCAAGCACAGACCCGGACGCGACACTTGGTTTAATTGGTGTTCTCATAAAAGAGAAACTGAGGGCACCTTTTACAAGGGCCCTTTTAGAGGACCCGATCTTTCTTCATTCCAGGACAACACCGCCATCGTTACGGAGCAGGATGACAACAGGCTCGCGGGATCAAAGGTGGAATTGCCATGCGGGCATCAAAAGGGGTACCATTGTAAATCAAATTTGCCAGCACAAGGCATTGAACGGGTTTTACTTTGGCAGCCAGCCAATCAAAGACATTGCGGCGTGTTCAATACTGAAGGGCAACATCAGGTCTTTTTTACAATTGAACAGTGCTGCCACTTGGTCTGAGGCGAAAAAGAGAGGAGACACATTTTGGGTTTGGCAGCCGACTCTTTTGACCTGAGCAGTGGACTTGTTGGGAGATGGTGCTTGGCTATTCCAGCTGTGATGAAACACTTAGAATAGTGCATTGATAATTTGGTAGTTATTTGGTACTGATAGCAAACTAGCTGTTCATTCTTCTTTTTGCAAGTGACCACAGTCTAAAGTTATCCAACAGCTTGTTTCTTCAGCTCTCAAAGGAGCTGCTGGAACAGCTTGTCCGTGTCGTTGCCAAAGTGGAGGCCATTGTTGCCCAACCAGAGTTGATATTGTCATGTTTTCAGTAGCTTTCCATTGTTTGGGTTTGTTCTGGATCAGTGGTTGCTATAAATTTTGGTGCCTATGCCTGTCCACAGTGCACAGGTGATTCAGTTTGGATTTGCGAAGACAGAAGAATCAGTGGCCGCAGACTTGGTGACATTTTAGGAGCAAAGAGTGACTTTTGATCTCAGTTGCTCTTGTCCAGATTACTACTCTCTCCCTCTCAATCTCAGTTTCTGTGCTCTTTGCTTGCCTCATGCAATAGCTCTGGAACTTGAGGCTCGAGTGGAGGGTGCGATGACGCACTATAAGCAAGTACAGCAAGAAAGATATGACCAGATGCTTGCTAGCCAGATGCTTAGAGAGGATGGAACTAGTTGCAAAACAGCTGCAACTTGACTTTTCTTGTCACCTATGATCCTTCCGCTGCAGCATTGGTCCATTCCAAGCTGTTTGACTCAAATGATGTAGGTGCAGACATGCTGAAGAACAAATCCATTGAGCAGGATTTGAGCATAGCATCCTGGTTCCAATGTGTGGAGCAAACGGTGCAAAGAACTCCTGAAAAGAGATGACAATAAAAGCTATTCCGTTCTATTTTGACGTTCAACTGACTAATTTACTTCTAGTTGCGGCACAGTCTGCATTTGAGTCTGCATGTCTTCACCAAGGCAGCATTCCAGGAGGACTTCCGTGCAGCAGTCGATCGCGAGGCACGGGCAGACCTCACAGAAAAGCGAAAGCAGACTGAGGCGGAGCTGGAGGCCGGAGTGACCTATTTGACAACAACAAACGAGACAGCCAGTTTATCATCAACACTCTCTGTTTGCACGCAGGTGCAGTTAGTGAAGCGGAGCATAGAAAAGCTCAGGCGCTTTGGGCAGTTTTATATACAACAAAGGGGACAGAGCTTGTATTCCCATTGGAGGAATATTGAAAGCCAGGACCTTCTAAAGCTTAAAACTCAATAGTCTAAACAAATTCAGATGTTTACAGCATCGTTTTGCTTTGTTCCCCACATTGTTGTGTGGGGTTCTTGTTTTTTTTGCTGCACCTCCTCGCTCGTTCTCCTCCGTCCTCCTCCTTCCTTCCTCCTTCCTCCTCTCTAACTACAACCTCTCTCACACAACATCTCTCACAACAACATCTCTCACAACAACATCTCTCACAACAACATCACTCAGACAACATCCCACACACAACGTCTTGCATACAACATCACTCACACAACATCTCTCACAACAACATCTCACACACAACACACAACATC